AATCGATTCCACAAGGAAGTCGTGCGAGGAAGAAAACATCTTCTAAATCGCACAGTGGTGGACCGCCAATCATCCAGATGGTGTGAATTGTATAGGGAGTTCTGCCGCGATGTGCGTTCGTGAAATTTGGCGCCTGGGATTAATCCGAACAATTTCTCAGAGCACTCCCCATGGTAGATGCGAAAGAAAATGCAAAGGGATGCAACATCTCTTCGCAGTGCCAATGAATCGAGCCGATCGGAAAGGGCTCGGTCGTCGACGATTCGAGCCGCTCTGCGCTGGGTGCGGTCAAGTGGAAGGAGCTGGCACTGGGGAGCCCCTGCCCAGAAATCGGAATAGTATTCCATGTGAGGCTGAACCTGCGCCTTGTAAAGTTGCAGGCGGTGTGCCGGCATGAAATACTGTCCCGCTCTGCTAAGCACGCCAAGCTTTTTACTCTCTTCCAAGTGACCACGAAACTGCACGGCACTCGATATGTCGACTCCGAGGATACCGATACTGGCTGAGGCAAGAAGAGGAGTGCCTTGAAACTGAGGAGATACGACAGAGGGGTTCCTTTTAGCGGTAAACGCGCAAACTTGTGTCTTCTGAGGATTATACTGGACTAGATTTAGTCGCCCCCAATCCGAGACTTTGCTAAGCAAAGACTCGACTTCAGACACAATACAAATATAATGTATGTAATGTATTCAGATACAAATTTAAAGTATGTTCACAAAAATAAAGATAGTTTTAGTAAAAAAAAGTGATATACATTCTGTAAGCACTAGGAATAAACACAAGCTAGTGATGCCAGTTTTTCGACTCCACAGAGTCAGTAGTTCATTCTTGGGGCAATGTATACGCTATTACAACAAGGTCCCGGAAAATGTACAGGTTCTCTCTATTACCAAGTTTAAATGTTTAATTTTGCTGAAACTGTATAAAAAGGGTTATTATAGTATAAATGAATACACGGTTGCCAATAACCCCTGGGAATGAGGTGGTACCTTCCAAGCAGTTTCTAAAATAAATTTTGTAAATAGTTCGTAATCATTTATATTTAAAATTTATTTAAAAAAAAGTGCCGCTGGGTTTCTTGCTGGTTTTTCCCAGGACATAGGGTTTTTATCGAACCAGTGGTAAAGTAAAAAATGAATTTAAATAAGAATTACACATGTAATGTATATTGAATAAAAAATTATTCTATTCCATTCTATTCTACAAATAACCTGCCGTTTCTATTTCCCTTAAAATTGGCTTTTACAATGACAATCAACAAATCCAATCAACCAAAAATCAATCATAAAATCAAATGTTGGTTATTCACGTGATCCAAGTGCCCAAAAATTTCACGTGCTGACGGAAAATAATAAATTGTTTAATTTGTACAGAACGGTATTGGAATGGATAAAGCAATAGCGCCCAAAAATGCGCTTGTTGCTCACTTTGAAAAAAAAACATTGAAAACTTTAGCCTTTTACAAGTTCCTTTATTTTATCATATTAAACACTAATTCGGACACCACCATAATGAAAGATAGGTACTGTATTTTATGCCGTCGCAGGGTCATCGCCGATTGATTTATCGCTTACTGTGATAAAGATCGTTGTATATAATTGCGTCCTAATGCTGTGCTTTTCAGCCCAAAATTGACAAAATCTGGACTATTCATAATGTTCCGGATATTAAGACATAGTCGCCTCAATGTTGTTTAATTTTATTTAGAATTTCTGCCGCCCACAATTACAGCGCCCAAAAGGACGCCATTTATGATCAACACCCACCTTGATCACATTTTGATCAGGCCGTCAGTTTTCACACATACATATCAAAAGGACCACTTGAACCAAGTTACGGAAAACAGCTAGTACAAAATAAAACCTCTTTTTGCGTGTTTCTAAAATTCTTTTTTCTTATGCAAATTCAAATCTAAAAGTTAGTTAAAGATACGGTTGAACCTATAGGCTATCCCTGGAACTATCCGCTAATTTCAAATGCAAAGCGCTCCAAATTCCACCTATTATGACGTTTTTACCCATTACAAGCGTATAATAGCAGCTGTGTTTCGTATTGTGAATACAGACATCCGGAAACTCTTTATAATAGAAACGAGATATATTATGTCTGTGGGCCACAGCATGGTCCATAAATATCGAAGAGCTTTGCGAAAGTACATATCTATTAACTCTGAATCAGCGTTGGTTGGTTACAAATGCAGCATCATGATTAGTTAGCAGCGTTTCCTTAACATACTTTAGATCATAAAATATTAGATTTACAGTTATCGTTAAGCATTTTATGTAGATATTTTAAGGGTTCCTTATAAATCCCTTTTATAATAATATCTTTTTAATATTCTACCTATTTATAAAGCTATTCTATCAATTACCATTCTAATAAAGAATGGTGAATTTGTAGTTTACAAAGCAATTCTAAAAAGCACCCTCAAGACCCTGATGATGCGATGCATGAAAATAATGAGCTTCCATACACTTTATTACTTAAGTAAGTACTTATATTTTATAAGGTTAAATTGTATCTTTCGAGAGAAATAGTCTACATTTTATTGCCGCATCTCACAATGTTTTTCGGAATAGGAACTAGTTGTCCGACTTCGAAGCCTTCAGGAGTTTTCATTAGTGCTTTGAAAAAGACCGTTTTGATTAAAATATTTTGACTTCGACTTTGAATTTGACGTAGAGAATGTATTCAAAAAGTTATATTTTTAGAAAATTAAATAAGTAAATAATTACACGGCCCAGTGGGCCTCGGCATTGGAAATAAACTCCTCCTATTCTTTTAGAACAGTACAGTTTAGTAGGGCGGTAAGTCCATATGATCTAGATTTTTTTTCTCTTCTTGCAGGTTTTTCTGTCATGTTCATTTACCACCGAACACATCATGTGCAATAAAAATAAAACAAAATCTTAGTTATATTTACATTTACGCGAACACTACATATTTAAATGAAACTAGTTTTACGGATTTAATCGAGTATATTAACTTATTTTATATTCCCGACGTTTCGAGCACTTTACAGCACGCGTAGTCACGGGGGGACTGAGGTATATGACGTCCCAGTGTCATAGTTAACCACTTCTACCTCCAGATTAAAAATTATAAATTTTTGTTCCGATCTACGCAGTATGAACTTACAGTATCTTGAAGTCTTGCAGTTTTCTATGCTTGGGTTGGGATTTAATTTTATTAATTATGGAACTCCAAGCAGATGGTAGCACACAGCCATCTTCTCTATTGAAATTAGGAAGTTTTTTTTTATTTCAATAGCCTCACGAATCATCCTTGGAAGGAATCGGTGTTCTTTAGGGAGGATTTGTGGTCTATCAAATCTAATGTAGTAACGGGGGCGATCCTGTGCGTGTACACAGAGCGTTCCCGGAGCGTCGATTCTTCTCCATCAGCTATCTTTCTAATCTTTAACGCGGGTTTTCATGGATCTTTTAGTTTGTCCTATATAAGAGAGACCACATTCACAATCAAGCTTGTACACTCCTGCATCTTGCAGAAGGACATTACACTTGACTAATGGTAAAAACCGACTTATCTTCTTCGGCGGCTTGAAGTATGTTTTAATGGAAGCACGCTTCAAGATGTAGCCAATCTTGTCAGTGACACCTCTGATATACGGCAGTACAGCAGGCACTCGCTCGACTGTGGCCGGCTTCACTCGTTCAATGTGACGTAGGTGTGGGACCCGAAGCTTATTTTCGTGCAAAACTTGCTTGACGTGTTGGAGCTCGGCGGCCAGGTGTTTACTCTCATAGATCCCTCTTGCTCTCTAAAACAAAGATTCACCCACGGTAGCTAACTGTGAAGGATGGTGATGAGAAGTACCGTTTAAATATTTATTATCTGTATGGGTCTTTTTTCTATACACAGTGCGGCTCAAGGTGTTATCAGAATTCCGAATTACTAACACATCTATAAAAGCTAAAGAATTGTTTGCCTCTAACTCCATGGTGAACTGAATTTTAGAATTTATGGAGTTAAGATGGTCTAAAAATGCAGTTAATTTATCTAAAGGTAGCATTGTGAAAGTGTCGTCTACGTACCGCTTGTAGATTCTTGGTCTTACGGGAGAAGTAAGCAGGGCTTTCTCCTCAATGTCTTCCATGAATATATAGGCGACAATGGGGGATCGCGACGCCGCCATCTACTTGCTTGTAAAACTCTTCCTTCTCCAGTAGGTAGCCAAATGTAAAGCAGTGTCTGAGTAATACTGCATATTTTACGGGTATGTTGTTTTCCTCCAGCCTTCTAGTAACAATCGAGATGCAGTCTTCAACAGGTAAGCATAAGAACAGGGACTGCACATCAAAACTGACCATAGTTTCATTGTTTGCCAGATGTAGGTCTTTAAAATCGCTGACAAAATAGTAGGAATCCTTTGTCTGTGCTCTTATGTCTCTTGAGCGGTGAAAGTATTTTCGATAAGTGTTGAGCTCATCTGTAAGTTGGTGAATCGATTTGGATTGCTATGGGACGTAGTAGAGCATTGGGATTGTGTATTTTTGGTAATCCATACAACTTCGGTGGTTCGGTATACGTAGGTATTATCGATTTTACGTCTAGATTTAATTTTTCGGAGTGTTTCTTTATAAGGTTACTAGTTGTTTTAAGTATGTTATTTGTTGTGTCGTTTTTAACCTTTCTATAATTGCTTGCATCCGACATAAGTTCTTGTATACTTAAAATTGCAATTAGCAATTTCAGGTTGCTACCGTTTCATGATATTGATGGTGTACGTTGAGATATTTTGTTTGACTATTTCTAATTGGCGAGGCGTTAAACTGCTTTAAACAATTTGTTCAAATAGATATTCATACCAATCGATAGAAAATCACCTAAATTTCAGTGGCAGAGATTAATACTTTTCAGATGTTCGAAAATTTAGTCCTGTCAATAATAAAACAACTTTTATGACTTGACATTTATTTCATAATTTCAAATTGTTTACAATAATTGTTAGTTACAATCAGAAATAAACTCATTAGTGCTTACAGGTCGAAAACGTTTGAGTCTCTGTCAACATTGGTGTTTATGTCGACACCAACGAAGTAGTTGTCGGTACCAATAAATGTTTGGTCAGCCATGTTGTAATCCTTCATCACCCAACGATCCCACCAACTCTTCATGTCACAAACTTCTTTCTTGTGAAAGATCATTACATCGACGAATTTCATGTTGGGAGTAAAGAATTTAGTAATATCGATTTCACGATCAAATGGATAACCTAATGGCATCTTGTCGAGAAGAACAGTAGACCTGAAATCGACTACTAAGTCCTTGCGGTTAGTATCAAGAATGCTGATGTCAATGTTATCTACTAGCTTCAATGGCGTCACAATGACGTAAAGCAAGAAGTTCATACCACCGACGCGACCTTTAGGAAGCAGAAGTCTAGTAGGGAAACCGGTATGGTAGTTTCTTAAGTCCTTCATAAGTAGGTCTCGCATATCAGTGACAGATTCAAGCTTCTTCCACAAATCGCGAGTCATAACGCGATCACGCACCAAGTTATGCATGTCGATTGAGTTCCTGACAATAGTGTTCTTTCCAGTGTTTAGTTTGTATAAGAAGGAATCTAATTCAACAAAGTTAACGCGATTAAGGTTGAGATCGATCAAGCGTCCGAACTGATCTTCTTTAGGTCCGAGGAACAGCCTTACTACACAGTCTACGGTCTTGTCAGACAAAATATCCAAAGTGACTTTGAATGGTTGATGATTGAGACGTCGCTTACGTACGAAGAATAACATATCTGATGTAGTCTTCTTAAGTTCCTCATCATTGAGCGTTACAGCATTTGTCATATCCATTAAATAATCATCGAAGTAAGTCACTAGCTTATCCACCACAACGTTGTCGATCTTAACTCCAGGGAAGTACAGCTCCTCTCTTGTGTAGGAGGGAAGGCGTGCTTTGAACAAGATCAGTAAGTTACAAAGACGTTTCTGGAGTTGATAGAAAATAGGATCACGAAGAGCAGTTTGGTACATATCGAGCACCGTTGGGGTAACGAAGTATCTACAAAAAAAGAATAAAAAACGTTATATTTACCTGCTTTCAATGCACTAAAAAGTAAATATTAATTCAGAGCAAATAATATAATATACCAAGATAATTTTTTTTTTCATTAAACTATAGGTGTGTGTATAGTGACATTCAAAAAACTATGTTAATATCGACTATTTAATTATTTCTTAATGATACTTTAAAATGAAGTCGACTTAAAGGGGCAGCTTCCTTCATTTACAAAAAAAAAGTAATATTTCCTATATCCTTTAAAATATAATGTAGCACGACGAAGAGCATTATGAAGTATGAATTATTTAATATTATTAATACATTAATAATAATAGATATAAGAGATATAGATCTCTCATATTTTATATTTAAAAACAAACATTAACACTCTAGATTCTGCTCCTTCACCGTGGAGACTTACATAAGTTGCACAAACATCTAGACCAGAAACAATTATTTTTAGCCCATACAAACATTTTTTCTGTACAAAATTTAAACCCGCGGCCCTGCAGCGCTACGACGAAATACTTTGCCACTGTGTTAACGAGTAATTAAATGTTAAATAAGTAATGATGTCCTCCAATATGGTAACAAAATTTGAATCAATGACGAGATATTAACAAAAATTTCTAAAATACCCAAAATAAAATATAATATAACATAAAGGCACGCCAAAGTAAAATAGAGCACACATAGGCTCATGTTATATTGGCTTCAAAGTTTAGATTCGCGAATCCATATAAGCAATATACATCCATCGGTTAAATAGTAGTAAGATAAAGTAGAAAAGCTAAGGTTACTGATTGAAATTCTTGAACTCTGTTGTACGACTTGCAGTGGCTGGTCGATTGACTGGTGACTACGAAATTATTCGATATGCGGGTAACTATACTTAAAATATTTCAAAAAAATTGAAGTACCGTCTCATTGAAATTAAAGTATAACCATTACTTACTTATCGTTAATCACTGTGTTAAGTCCAATTACTGATTTCATTATAATCAGTAGATAGCGGTAGGCATCAAAACGGAACTTGTCTACGTCATTTTTGTCAATTTTTCCGTAGACTATCTTGCCAAGCATTTCTACATCTTCAGGTTTCATCAATTCTAATCTGATTCCATTGACCTGCAAGGTAACATTTTATTAGATTTCGATAGACTTTATTCGTTTCGATAGCTGAATATAATATTAAAAATATACTCACTTCAATATAGCCCTTGATAATAGCTTCTTTTATGATCATTTCATAATTTTCTACCAAGCGAACAATGTTTATATCATTATCTCCAACGAGAACGTAGTTGTTTGGTCTCATAGGGAATTGAACACCATTTTGATAGAGCATCCAAGGCCAGTATCCTTTCCTGATTGGTTTGTTCCAAGTCAAGGTAGTAATATCACCCAAACCGTTTGAAAGTCTTTCCAAGTAGTATCTGGCAAGGATTTGCTGATAGATGTAGAGGTTCAGTTCCCACCTCCTACTTACTTTTAGTTTATCGAACATGTCATCTTTCATCCAGAACGGATAGTCAACATGGAAGTAGTAGTAATAAGTGTTAAGATCTATATCTTCAGTAAAGTATCTGAGCCTGTCTTCATCGTTAAGGTAAACACGGCGATCATAAATGTTCTCATCAATAATGTATACACCTTTTTCAGTCTTTTTAATTCCGTAAAAATCGCAGAGTTTAGGGTCGAGTAACCCTTTCTTCATTTTAAGCATATAAGCTTTTTGGATGACATCAGCACGAACAAAGTAGTAAGGATAGATTTCATAGGGAGGAGGCAGAATAATGCCTTTGCAATCTTCACGGTGCCTGACGGCTACTGTTAGAGCATAAACGAACATTCCTTCATTCAAGTACAGACGCATCCAACAAGCAGTCTTGATAAAGGTGGTGAAGTCTTTTGCGTAGTAAAGCAAGTGGAACATGGATACCACTTCCTTTAGTTGTCTGTCCACGTGGATGGTAAATATTTCACCTCGGGGCAACATTCCGATTTTAAAATTGTTGACAAATGTTTTAACGACATCGGTTCTCTGTAAATAATGAACGAAATTACTCTTAGAGTTTACTTCAAACGTTTTGCTAAAATATTTGATTTTGTAATCCATAATACTTACGGTAAATAAGTTGACGTTTTCTTCGATCTTAAAGTTCTTGCCAATTTCTTCAATTTCCTTGTACATGACCGGTTCAGTTACATGGTTTAGCAATTTCAAGATGAAAAATTGTCTTTGCTTAATGTCCATGTTAACTAGAAAAACGTTATTAATACTTATAGTAAATTGTTAAAATTATTTAAAAATTACAATTTTAGAGAGGGTCTTACCAAAAATCTGGTCGTCCATCTCAGGTCGAGCCGCAGCCAAGGCGGCAAGACCTAATAATAAAAATGCGATCCTCCTCATGGTGCAGCAGAACCGTCGCCAGTACAACTGTGCCGTTGCAACTTTGCACTGCGCTTTTATACTAGCTAGCTAGCCACTATTATTGACCTTACATGCAGTTTGTTTTCTTTTAGTGATATAAAGAATGGCATCGTAAGTTTGAAGCAACAATGTTGCATTATTGATAACTTATCAAGTTCTAAATGTGTTCGAATTGATACGTGGTATTTGGTTTCATGAAACTATTTTAAAAGTTTTTATTTATCTTTCAATATTTGTATGTAAGGGTCAAATCTTCATACCGAATTTCAAAGTAGCAGTTATAGGTAGGATGTCAGTGCATGGTTAAATTAGTGACGTCATTCTAAATATGGCGGACCGCCCAAGTTGGCGGACTAGTTATATTCTAAGCACTCAAATGACATGAATATCAAATACAAGGGTTTGCTAAGAAGAATACGGAAATAATGCAACACTAAATCCAATATGGTGGACACCCAAAGATGGTGAACTAAGTTTTTTATGCATCCGTATTATACGTATATCAAAGGGTTTGCTAAGAAAATTATAAATACAATGACGTCCGTATTGAGCTCTTCGAGGAGATGGTGTACTGCTACCCAACTAAAAGGTAAGACTTAGCGGCGTCGTGTATTACTTATATCGAACCACCCTGGGCATAATATTCTAGCAGTGGTGAATAACATTCAAAATTGCGGGAAACAAGATGGCCGCCATACCAATTTTAAACAGTTATCACTCGGTTAGGAATACTTTGCTTGTGCGCAAACAAATGTTGTAGAAGCCGATAAGATTCAACTGCTCGCTATAAGAATATTAAGATGGGGGATCTAAGATGGCGAACAAAAACCAACAGTGGTCCATTAAATAAAATGAGCAGACTTAGAAACATTAAAAGTAAAAAACATAAAACTAGCATTTATTTAGATGCTCTAAAAATAAAAAAATAAACTTTAAATTAAATTAAACCCATCAATTTATTACAATACACAATTTCCATGATATAAAAGCTTGTGGCAAGATTTACCTATGTATATAACAAGCATACAATATGTAACTTGATATTGACATAAGTAGGTATTTCTGTGAAATAAATGTTTTTTAAAAAAATGGTAAAATCGCGACAAGCTTTGATATCGTATCAATAATGTAATGTAATAAATTGATGGGTTTGATTTAATTTAAAGTTTATTTTCTTCATTTTGGAGTATCTAAATAAAAGCTTGTTTTTAAAAATAATTTCTTACTATTAATTTATTTATGTTTAGATTACGTTCATAATTTTATTAAAATTTGCGATCATTATCGTTCCGAAATATGAGAAAGTTTCTTTGTGATAACTTGAGCTCTACGTATTATGCGCTCTCATAATAAGCGATGGTCATGACTTAACTTGGACATGAAATCAAAAACAAGTTATTTAAATTTATATATTTTTCTTTAAATTAAATATTGCACGTAGCACCTATCCGTCAAAATATTAAAATTACAATTTCCTTTCACGTTCGATTTTTCAGAACAGCACCGTTTGTAGTTGATTTTCCCGATAATGTAACAATTTTAAATTTTAGATACAATAAAGAGTTATCGAATTATATACCTATCCATCTTAAAGACTAATATTTTCTCCAAATGTATATGACACCACCTCTAAAGGTTTTGTTCCCCCTGTTTTCAGTTCTTAATGATTCTTATCTAAAAGAAAGATTTCAATTCCGTAGTGACACTCATTCTCTATATCTCCGTTCTTCACACAGTTTATTCCTGTCTACTCCTCTCCACTATTCTGGGTTTATGTCAAATTCATTCACAGTTACTTCCATCTCCCTCTGGAACAAATTGATTGATGACCTGCGAATAATACCTACCAAAAATATTTTTAAAAGAAAATTAAACGAGCATATCCGTAGCCTATAATGTTGAGTCTAATTACTTTATATGTTTATAGTTATTTATATATACACTTATTGAGATATATATGTATAATATGTATATTTATTTATATAATTATATGTATCTGTTATATATATTTTATTTATATGTGTATATTTTATGTATATAAAAACCACACATTATTCAAAGCCTGCAAACTTAAAGTCTCAAAATAATACTTGATTCGTATTCGTTTTGCATTTTATATTTACTTTGAATTATAAAGCAAAGCGGATATTGAAAATGTCCTTGGAAGTCTACATCCAACGTTTTTCCATTAATATTAATATGAAGATGATTCAAATATTTCGGGAATTTAACAATTTCGTATTTAACACAACACTGATCTAAGAAATTTAATACCGTAAAACTTCTACACCGTTTCCAATTCAAAATCAGATTGTACAAACCTTACATAAATATTTAGAAAATATTTTTTGTTAAAAATCTTGTGCCTGTATTTTTTTTATAGGATAAGGGTGACAAACGAGCACACAGTCCACCCGATGGTAAGTGGTGCTGTGGCCCATAGAAATCTACATCTATCCTCGCCTAATCAAAATGCAGATGCGTTGTCACCCGTGAGGACTAAGATGAAATTTTTCAAAGGAAGGTTTTCAGTAAAAAGGGTCTCCGGTTCTCTACACTCACCATACGAAACACAGCAGTGTTCAGCTGCTATTTTACGCTGGTATTCTGTGAGAGCGTGTTCCTTCCCCGGTCGAGCCGCCCATTTGTGCTACAACTACACCAGTAATATAGCTGCATCATGACTCTACCATGTAATTTTAGAGCATTTTTTGTCAACTTATTGGTATAAAATAATTAACAGGCTTTAATTGTCCCTCCGCAATACAATGGCTAAATTTTTATTAAATTATAAAAAGTAAACTTGGGGTTAAATCCTTTTAAAGACTGTTCCTTTTTTTTTAAGATTTTGTATGACGAATGAATTAAAATAAAGGCCATGCATCTCCAAAGCGAATAAGATATTTTAAAAGATCCTAGGCTTAAATAAAATTTCCCTATTGGGTATGTCCTAAGAATGACTAAAAAAACATTTGTTGATACATTCCCAAGGGAGTTGAAAAGATATGTGTGATATGGAGAGAGGTATGAACAATGATGGACTACTAGGTAGAATAGAACTCCTATCATAATTGTTATAGCAGTTATTTTAAAACCGTGTTTCGGAAATATATATATATATATATATATATATATATATATATATATATATATGCTGTGGCACATAGACATCTACATTTGTCCTCGTTTGCGAATCAAAATGCAGATGTGTTGTCACCCGTGAGGACTAAGATGGAATGCCTCTTTTCCAGTAAAAAGGGTCTCCGGTTTTCTACACTCACTGTAGTGAAATTGGTGACAAGAAATAATTCACTGTTCACTGTTATAATGTTTATTCCTTTTATAAATCAGCTCCACAATTCACAATTTTCACAGATTACAGTTTAACTATAGTTTATGACAACACACAAAGTATATATATAAACAGAAGGCTAATGCAATTTTTGTACTAATTTAGCAATTAGATTTTATATAAGGAAAAAACAACGACATCAATGACGCATAGGGCAGTTGACAGTTAAAAACTATATTTAAATTTTTGACTTATATTATGTGGCTACACGTCACTTCACTCCCCCCCCCCCCCCCCCCAGAGACCGTCTCATGACGGGCGATAATAATCTGCCAATCTCAAACTTCGTCCCGAACGTGTTTTTTTAATTTTTGTGTCTTCTTTACTTTCAGGCGGCTGCATAATGACAGGACCTTGGAGTTCAGTGTTTTCCTGAATTGTGTAGGCTGGTTTTAGCCGATTTATGGAAACTGTGACTTCATTGCCCCTAATTAGAAGTTTATAAACTTTATCATTTCTTTGTATGACTTTGTATGGCCCTGTATAAGATGGTTGAAATGCTCGCGATTTTGTTTCATCTTTCAGGTACACGTGCGTAGCTGTTTGCAAGTCTTTGAAAACAAAGGTCTTGTATTTACTGTGCCGTGACGCTGGCAATGGACGTATATTTTCCATGTTAGCACGTAGGCATGCAGTGAAATCCGTCACATCAGTAGTTGTTTTCAAGGAAGTATAGAAGTATTCTCCCGGTAGTCTTAACGATTCACCATAAACTAAGTCAGCCGGTGATGCTTGTAGATGTTCCTTTAAAGCACTTTTCATACCTAATAGTACTAGCGGCAAACTTTCAGTCCAGTGTTGGTTACTATGACAAGTTATGGCCGATTTTAACTACCTGTGCATTCTTTCCACCATTCCGTTACATGCAGGGTGATAAGCAGTTGTTTTCTTGTGTTTGAAACCTATTGAATCTGAAAGATATTTGAACAGCGATGATTCAAACTGCCTTCCCCGATCAGTTATTATTTCCGCAGGACATCCAAATCGCGAAATCCAACCTAGTAGCAGGGCCTTTACAACGGATTCCGCAGTTATATCTATTAATGGGATTGCTTCTGGCCTACGTGTGAATCTATCTACCGCTGTTAGACAGTACCGAAAACCTTCTGATGGTGGAAGCGGTCCAATTATGTCTATGTGAATTTATTGGAATCGGGCACGTGGCAATTCGAATGTATGTAGCGGCGATGACACGTGTCGGGTAATTTTTGAGTTCTGGCAGGCGTGGCATGCTATAGCCCATACTCGGCAGACTTTGTTCATGCCGGGCCAAACGTAACGCTGTGCTACTAATTTTGCGGTAGCATTAGCGCCTGGGTAATTCAGTGAATGCAGTGTTGCATAAATTTGCCGTCGAAGCTGCTGGGGCACATAAAGGCGTGTTACTTGCGTTTTATTGTCGCAGTATAATTCTTCTAGTGTACCCGGTATTTTAACTTTAATTAGTTGAAGCGATGTTTGACAATTTATTAATTTTTTTAACTCAGGATCTTCTGACTGCGCTTTTGCGAGTGTGCTTAAGTCGACGGGCATAGATAATTCCTCTATTCATGAAAGAGTGTCAGCTACGACATTTTCTTTCCCAGAAATATGTTGTATGTCCGTTGTGAATTGGAATATGTAATCT